CAAAAACCGAATGTTTATTATTTAGCAATAAACGCATCCCCATCACACACCCCCCACTTTATCTGAATAGCCAAATAATCGAAAATGTGGAAAGTCACAAACACCTTGGAATACATTTTTCAAAAAACGGCCACTGGGATTTGCACATATAATCAACCCTTCTGAAAGCATCTCAACGTCTTCATCTACTAAGAAAACTTAAATTTCTTATTGATAGAAAATCGCTTGAAAATTTGTATTTTTCTTACGTTAGACCGCTACTCGAATATGGTGACGTTATATGGGATAATATGTCCAGTGATCTTGTCAATAAAATCGAACATATCAATATTGAGGCCGCTCGCATAGTAACCGGCTCTACGAAACTTGCAAGTCTTCATAGTCTTTATCAGGAGACTGGTTGGGAATCTTTAAAAGATAGGAGATATAAACATAAAATTATACAGTTCCACAAAATGGTCTACAGCCAAACTCCTCAATACGTTTCGGATCTAGTCCCACCACAAAATCAAGATATACACAATCATTCCACTAGACAAAAGTGTAACATCAAGCAAGTCAAATGTAGAACTGACCACTATAGTAACTCCTTCGTCCCATCAACCATCAAGCTCTGGAACGAATTGCCCGATTCTATCAAACAAAACCCTTCGTTGTCAAATTTAAAACGTTATTTAAATGCCAACAATGCAAAGCGTAAACCCCCTCAATATTATTATACTGGTAAACGCAAGGAACAGATATTACACACAAGATTACGACTTGATTGTAGCTCACTAAAAAGTCATTTATTTTCTCGAAATATTGTCAGCAGCCCAAACTGTAACTGTGGCGAGATTGAAACTTCTGAACATTTCCTCCTACATTGTCCATATTTTGAAAATCTCAGATATAGATTTATATACACACTTCCACATTACAACAACACCAATATATTATTATTTGGTGACCAAAATCTACCACTGGCAGAAAATGTTGGAATCTTTAAATCTGTCCAAAAATATATTGTAGTTACCAAGAGATTTATTTAATCAGTTTTTCCTTAGTATCTATTCACTACTCCCTCTCCCGTGGGTATGTTCTTGTGTATATTCTCTTAAGTGTGTGTAGCAAGCGTCATTTTTATTTTTTTTTCCTCATTGTTATTTTTTCTTCCTAATTTTGAATTAATATCTGTTACTGCTGTAAATCTCCTGCATTTGTTCTTTAATTATTTTTCCTATAAATTCAACCATAATATGTCGCTTTTTTCTCTCTCATACAGTCATATTGTACAAATTCATTAGACTTCTTCTGTATAATTAGAACGTCATTCATTTGTGTCAATCGACATGATTTCTAATTTAACATGTATGTCAATTTCAAATACTTTTTAAGCAGCTTCAAACCGTGTTATGTAGCTATCTAATAAGGGTCTGTCACCTTTATCATAATAATAAGGAAACGGATTAGTATAAGTTTTTAAACTTGTTTCCGAATCCTTTTTGATTTTTAGCTCACCTCGACGAAGTCGAGATGAGCTTATGCTATACCCCCGGCGTTGGCGTCGGCGTCGGCGTTAGCGTCGGCGTCCCGGTTAAAGTTTTAGGAGCAAGTCCCATTCCCAAGTAACTATAAGCCCTACCTTGACCAAACTTGCATGGATGATGCATCTAGGGATGGACACTACCACACTTGCTTCGGATGCTGGATATGACCTAGATTTTCCAGATGATTGACCAGGTTAAAGTTTTTGGAGCAGGTCCATTCCCAAGGAATTATAAGCCCTACCTGGACCAAACTTGCATGGATGATGCATCTAGGGATGGACACTACCACACTTGCTTCGGATGCTGGATATGACCTAGATTTTCCAGATGATTGACCAGGTTAAAGTTTTTGGAGTAGGTCCATTCCCAAGGAATTATAAGCCCTACCTGGACCAAACTTGCATGGATGATGCATCTAGGGATGGACACTACAACACTTGCTTCGGATGCTGGATCTGACCTAGATTTTCCAGATGAGTGACCAGGTTAAAGTTTTTGGAGCAGGTCAATTCCCAAGTAACTATAAGCCCTACCTGGACCAAACTTGCATGGATGATACATCTAGGGATGGACACTACCACACTTGCTTGGGATGCTGGATCTGACCTAGATTTTCCAGATGAGTGACCAGGTTAAAGTTTTTGGAGCAGGTCCATTCCCAAGTAACTATAAGCCTTACCTGGACCAAATTTGCATGGATGATGCATCTAGGGATGGACACTACCACACTTGCTTCGGATGCTGGATCTGACCTAGATTTTCCAGATGAGTGACCAGGTTAAAGTTTTTGGAGCAGGTCCATTCCCAAGGAATTATAAGCCCTACCTGGACCAAACTTGCATGGTTGATGCTTCTAGGGATGGACACTACAACACTTGCTTCGGATGCTGGATCTGACCTAGATTTTCCAGATGAGTGACCAGGTTAAAGTTTTTGGAACAGGTCAATTCCCAAGTAACTATAAGCCCTACCTGGACCAAACTTGCATGGATGATGCATCTAGGGATGGACACTACCACACTTGCTTCGGATGCTGGATATGACCTAGATTTTCCAGATGAGTGACCAGGTTAAAGTTTTTGGAGCAGGTCCATTCCCAAGTAACTATAAGCCTTACCTGGACCAAACTTGCATGGATGATGCAGATTGGGATGGACACTACCACACTTGCTTCGGATGCTGGATCTGACCTAGATTTTCCAGATGAGTGACCAGGTTAAAGTTTTTGGAGCAGGTCCATTCCCAAGTAACTATAAGCCCTACCTGGATCAAACTTGCATGGAGGATGCATTTAGGAATGGACACTACCACACTTGCTTCGGATGCTGAATATGACCTAGATTTTCCAGATGATTGACCAGGTTAAAGTTTTTGGAGCAGGTCCATTCCCAAGTAACTATTAGCCCTACCTTGACCAATCTTGCATGGATGATGCATCTAGGGATGAACACTACCACACTTGCTTCGGATGCTGGATCTGACTTAGATTTTCCAGATGAGTGACCAGGTTAAAGTTTTTGGAGCAGGTCCATTCCCAATTAATTATAAGCCCTACCTGAATCAAACTTGCATGGAGGATGCATATAGGGATGGACACTACCACACTTGCTTTGGATGCTGGATCTGACCTAGATTTTCCAGATGGGTCACTAGGTTAAAGTTTTTGGAGCAGGTCCATTCCCAAGAAACTATTAGCCCTACCTTGACCAAACTTGCATGGATGATGCATCTGGGGATGGACACTACCACACTTGCTTCAGATGCTGGATCTGACCTAGATTTTCCAGATGAGTGACTAGGTTAAAGTTTTTGGAGCAGGTACCCAATTATAAGCCCTACCTGGACCAAACCTGCATGGATGATGCATCAAAGGAAGGACTCTACCATACTTGCTTCAGATGCTGGATCTGACCTACATTTTCCAGATGAGTGACTAGATTAAAGGTTTGGGAGCAGGTCTATTCCCAAGTGATTATTTAAGCCTTACCTGGACCAAACTTGCATGGATGATGCATCTAGGGATGGACGCTACCACACTTGCTTGGGATGCTGGATCTGACCTAGATTTTCCAGATGAGTGACCAGGTTAAAGTTTTTGGAACAGGTCCATTCCCAAGTAACTAAAAGCCCTACCTGGACCAAATTTGCATGGATGATACATCTAGGGATAGACACTACCATATTTGCTTCAGATGCTGGATCTGACCTAGATTTTCCAGATGATTGATCAGGTTAAAGTTTTTTTGGAGCAGGTCCATTCCCAAGTAAATATAAGCCCTACCTGGCCCAAACATGCATGGATGATGCATCTAGGGATGTACACTAACTAACCTGCTTTGGATTCTGGATCTGACCTAGATTTCCACATGAGTGAATTTTAGCCATATTTTAACCAAATTAGCATGAATGATGATGTATCTAGAGATGGACAGTTCCAGACTTACTTTCTGAATCTAATATTGATGGATATTAATCTTGGAATGTACACTAACTAGGAAAAAAATATGATGTGAGATTTACCTTACTTATAGATAACATTCGTCGAGGTGAGCTTAGTAATCTTTGATTACCTATGTTTGTACTACTTATCTGTATCTTCTGCTTGTCATTTTCAAATAAAATATGGTTTAAACTAAAAAACAGGAAAATTTAAATATTTGGTTAAATTATTCTTTACAACTACAGTGTACATCATGGTTCGAAACTTGCGTCTTGGTCCTTAACTTAGGTCTAGGTAACATTAACTGGAAGTGTTCAAATCGTGACGCTAAAGAAAATAGGAAGAATGTGTCATATCCAACGAACCATATATAATGTAGGTCATTTGAAAATTACTTGTCTATAGTAATTTACTATGGGGGTTGGAAATATAATATCCTGGAAGATCTTTCTGACACAAATATTGCTCAATTTTGCGTAATAAAGTTCTCGCTTACTATTCAAGATATAAAACAATAACTAAGCAAAATTCGTAAAATTTTATATTCTGGTTTGCAAATACCAAATAACTATCTCACAAAAAATAAATTGCATGTAAAAAGTTGCTCTGTTGAGAAAGAAAGAGAAAAATGGGGTTGGAGCAGCTGGAAGGAGGGGCAGGTTGTTGCAAGTGGCCTTCTTTGTCGGACGGCCTCATGCGTCCTCCGGGGCACGGAAAGGATAAGTAAGTGAGTAAAAAAAAAAAGAATTGGTGATCTTTAATTATAAGCTTGTGCATAAAATAATTCTAAATAATCTATATATGTTATGACAAGTACTTTTTACCAGTGTAAATACCATATTATTAAAGTTATCATTTATTCCATAAATACATTTAAAGCAAGTTGCAATATCATATTAATTTTGAAAATGTCACTGAATGACAATTATTGTTTAAAACTTTAATTGCATATATTGATGATTTATTCTATTAATATACCTAAATAGCAATAATTGTTTAAGACTAGTAAGTTGTTTATTTTGATCATATTATTACACAGGATTAATATTGAGATACAGTCCGTTTTTACTGCGCAGAATCAGCATGCTCTCAGGTTCCGCTGGGCGACTCGGATCTAATGTAAACCGGAACTTGCGTATCAGAGTAGGAATTATGACTTTAATCTGTGTGACTGCAAACAGTTGACCAATACAGTTTCTGCAATTTATATAAAGAAGAATTTAATTTTACAACCAGTTACATGTACATCAAAAAGTTAAATGTACCTTTATAGGATATTACTTAAAGTTCTTGTTTTTGTTGAAATGGAGAAATATATTCACAAGTGAATTTTTTCTCTGAATTTTGGGGGATTTCATCACTATGAATTTTTTAAAACATGATGAACTTTAATTCAGCTAATAACTAATTTAAGCACAGACTTCACTACTGGTGGCATGTAATACTACTTCTATTAGGGCTTCTTTTTTTATCTTAATATATGAATTTGTACTATACATCTAAAATGTGTTGTCTTGCAAACACTTCCGAATAAGGTTGGAATTTTTTTTTGTAATATATTACCTTGGTCCTATAGAAAATGGCATGTATGCGGATTGGTATATCATGCTGTCTTGGGAAAATCTGGACGGATCATACTCCTGGCAAAAAAGAAAAGAAGAGAGTTACAATAATTTATGCCCACTTAAGAAATTGATGTGGATGTATTTTTAAAAAAATGAACAGATCAGAAGGAACACACAATATATCTACTTTAGTGTTGCCCAATTTTGATCAGTAGTAGCATAATAGAACCCTCTAAACACTCGATAGTAAAGAATTCGCTTATAATAGTTATAATGTAATATCTTTTAAATAGGGAAACTTTTATGAGAACTATAGAAGAATTTGAAATATGTTTCTAATACGAATATATAGAATCTTAGTAATGATGGTGTAAAATTCTAAGTTCCCAGTGCATGACTTCCTTACATACAAGCTTTACTGTAATATTTTTTCAACCATTAATTATAAGTTCAAAAGCGGAACACGAATTCTTTATGTTTTTTAGGAATAAAAAAGTAAGTGTTTTTTTTTCACTAATTTACAATTTTCAATTATTAATGAGTACATGACTAATTATAATTAGTCATGTACTCATTAACAATGAAAATTGTGTGAAAGACAGAAGTAAAGATAAAATTTTATACTTCCGGTTCTGGCCACACTTCCGGGTTCCTGTGAAGAGCAAATAGGGAAACAGCCATACGGACTCCTGTTAAAGGAAATGAACACAATAAGTCCAAGCTGGTTTTCATCAATTTCTTAAGCACTTTCTACATACCCCTACAGAACAAAATTTACGTCTTTTCTAAAAATATGTTGAATTTCGATCAGTAGTTTTTTTAATGCACCTTTTGGAATTATTCTGCCATCAGGCAATTTTATGTCTTTTTCAGCACATCTAGAAACATTTGGTACAGGTGGATACATTCGCATACTCTCTTTCACACACATAAATGTATATTCAAGTTTATTTAGATCTTCCCTGAAAAGAAAAAAAACGACTTTTAAGTATCAACGACATGATCTTGCAGAATAGATTATTTTTAAAACATATTCCTAAAAATATTACAATGCTAATATTTCACTTTTTGACAGAGTTTTAAAGAATACTGATGATGGATTGAATTAATATTTTTGCTGTATATATAAAAATGGGTAAGCAATCATAATATACTGGATATTCGGGTAAACAGCTTCTTTTAATGGTTTCACATCGTCAGTAAGTTTGCTACAGTGTGAACTACATTAACTATACCACGTGATATCCTCCTTGTCCCCCCACTGCTGCTGTATCTCCTCCCGACATTTGTCTTGACAGTCCTGGTGTTTAGCCAGATTGTAAAGGCACCAAGACATCGAGCTGGCCGTAGAGTCGTGACCCTCAAACATAAACGTATCCACCTCATCCCGAATTTCTTGGTCAGAGAGACCATTTCCGTCACTGTCCTAAAAATGAGGACAGGTTACGAATACAAAAAAAAAAAAAATCACGAATAAGACAGCTTATATAATAATCAAGATTATTGACAAAGAATGGATATTTTTCTTGCCAGGAAAATCCCACTGCTGTTTTAAAAAGTAACGGAATACTTCTGATGGTTTATTTCATAAAGAATAATAGAATTATTTCTGCATTAATCATAAAGGAATTAAGAAAAAATTAGTTCATTTCAAGCATCTAACTTAATTTACCCTTCCTGAAAGTAAAATGTCCAGAAAATCTATAGGACGGGATCCTGGTTTTTCTGTGGCGATCAGCTGTCGGCGATCACGAATGATTTTTTCGGAATGCTCGTGGATTATGTCACAGGTTTTTCTGAATTCTTTTCTGTGTGAAAAAAAAGTCGGAAAATACGTATATAATTGATTATTACAATGACAAATATGGAGAGCTTCATGCTGTAGTGTCCCTTTACTTTTTGGCATTAGGAGCTTGTTAAAATGGTTAAAATTTATAAATTAGTAAAAGTAGTTAAAACTGTTTAATTAAAACCTACCCATTCGCTGACAAGTCGTAAATAAACTGAAAATGATGAAGAGGGTTTGTGATTCTTTTGACAATCTGTTCAGATACGTCATAGACACCTTGTATGTATGGATGACGAACTCTAACATGGAAAGATAAATATTATCATTACTGAAAATTATACAACAGTTGCTCCCCAAAGATCAATTTATTCTTTGGTGAAAATACCAATATCTAGATTTTTATGTAACGTTTTCCTATGATAAATGTTACATACAATGAAATATATATATATATATATATATATATATATATATATTGTGTGTGTGTGTGTGAGAGAGAGAGAGAGAGAGAGAGAGAGAGAGAGAGAGAGAGAGAGAGAGAGAGGGAGAGAGAGAGAGAGAGAGAGAGAGAGAGAGAATATTGCCAATCCAATATTTATATTATTCAAACCCTATACTATAGGTACATGTATGACTAAGAAAATTCACAAAAGTGATAACTTAAAGTCTAATCTACATTTAAAATGATGTCGTAAAGATAATACTTTGATAGAATTGCACTTAATAGGCTTACTTCCGTCTCTAACCTTTCATTTTGACAATGGCTGGTGTATCCAAACAAACATTTCATCATACTGTCCAGCGTCAACAAGCTGATATGATGAAATGTCTCTACCGGCTCCTTAACTCCCTCCCATTTTTTCTGAGGTATGAAAAAAATTGATAAAAATCAAATCATACAATGTAGGTAGATTCAATTGTTGAAAAAGAGACAATATGCCATATTGCACTTTTTGTCACTTAAAAATGTTTCAGCTAAAGCGAGAGAAAAAAAAGCAATTACATGTAGGTTGCTACATTTGAAAAAAGACATACATGTATGAAATATGGAAATCAAATCCAATGATGTCTGGAAAATTAAAATGTGACGAAAAATTTCTTTAACCAGAAAAAAAGTTAATATATTTCTAGGTTTGTAAAGATCTTGCTAAGCTAGTTATATATACTTTTATTCAAATAACTATCCTTGGCGCACCTGGATTAACAGTTGATTAGACCTTTATATTATTATGACGTGGATGTTGTTTATTGGATGTATTGTTAGGGCCCCTCTCCCCATTCCACCCCCAATAATTTGAATTTTAATTAATGTTAAAAGGCATCATATCAATTAATGCGAAACTGACCAGTAACTCTTGTGCTGATTGGTAAAAAATCTTCACATAGTTTCTAATGACTTCCTGATGAAACGCAGGCGTCAACATTCGCCTGTTTCTGTCCCATTTCTTTCCAGAGCTCAGCAATAGCCCATCCCCTGTTCAGACCAAACAAATCATGCATATTACAGTTAGATGTAGTAATTTTGCAATCTGTATAAAAGTGGCGACTCAAAATGACTTACCAATCCAAGGCCGCATTAAAGAATAGGAAAATTCGTCTTTCGGATCTAAGTAGGAAAAAATATATACAAATGACAAAATGATGAAAATATATAATTCAAAGACACTGTAACTTCCGGTTTTAATATCTACTAGAATAAAGTATGTCATAGGGGGCAAATAGCCTTGTTCAAGATGAAAGTTTTAGTATGAAATCGTGATTTCGATTTTACAGTTATCTCTCTTGATTTTAGAATTATCCCCCTTAGCAAAAAAGGTCCATATGTCCTTAATTCTGCTGACCCAGAATCACTGACCCGTGCCGGAGAGAACGCTGCGAACCGTAGCAGGATGAACCGTCATCAGGAAGGCGTCTGTAGGGCCCATCCATACGGGGAAAGCTCCGTGATATTTTGCGGCGTAGTCTGCCACCCTAAGCATCCCCTGGAAGTCCCCCGTCAACTGCATTGTTACAAGGAAAGGATTTGCGCAATGAAGTATATCCTTACAAATGTATATACAATCATTAACAAAGTAAAAAACTTTATGGATTTCCTCAGGTGCATGTTAATGATTACAGAAAGTTCGTCTTACGATTTTATATAATCAGCATCTTGCATGTATTTAAATGAATTTCATTAAAAATTTGATAATACTCAGTATACCCTAGCTGCTCTGATTCTGATTTCATATCATTTTTGAGAAACTTATCTCATAATTTGTTCATATTTTTTTTGTTTTGTTGTTGTTGTTGTTGGGGGGGGGGGGCGAAACTTCTAATTTTGGGATTATTATCCAAATTGGGTATTCTGTCCATATCCGTATCATTCATATTCATGTGTATATCAATGTATCTCCTCTGTTTTTCTAAATCGTTCAAATTATTTAAAAATCGTTCGAAAAAATTCTAAATCAAACGAATTTCCAAAGCGTATAAACGATTTACAAAATCCTACAAACGAATTTCCAAATCATACAAAGGATTTTCTAAATCGTACTTAAATTGTGTACTGACGATTTCTGATTTTTCTTAATCATACAAACGATTTTCTTAATTGTACAAACGAATTTCTAAATCGTCCGAACGAATTTCTAAATCGTACAAACGATTTCCTAAATCGTACAAACGGTTTCCTAAATCGTACAAATTATTTTATTTTCTCTGCAAAATTAAAATTGCATACGCCGTCGTACTAAAATCTCCATTCTTCATGACATACCCTCAAACAAACTTACCTCTTGCATGTTCCCCCATAGCCAGTGTGGCTTAGGTCCAGGGAAATTTTTGAACGATGCTACGAGCTTTTGCCTATTCTTCAACAGGGAAATCACTTTCACAAATATTATTATAATCAAAACGAAGGGCAAAGCCTGCAGGAACATCCAGGTGACAGTAGCCATTTCATATAGGGCGACACGTGGATTTATTTTGCAGCTTTAAGGTTATGCGTTATCGTGGTCACTTTGTTGTTTATTTGCCTCTTATCTATATGGAACGACCTTTAACACATCACCTAACCGCATGTCTAGAGTCTAGAGAAATTTGTTACCATGTAAACCAAAAATGCAACTCGCAAATTCGAATATTTAAATTTTATAGGATAGAGGTATATTTTTTTTTTTTTTAAAAAAAGAGAGATTAATTTCTCCTTTAACACTTATATAAAATTTTTATGAATAAAATAATGGACATGATGGAGGTTGAAAAAGTTTATGCAGTCAGTCTTCTATGGTATCGTTTTCTGCGAAATATGCAAACAAGAGTTTCGAAATTAGGTATATACGACCCCCAAAATATATAGTACAGAACTGATTTCAAATGATATCAGCTGAATAACATTTCACTTGAAATGTAATTACTAGTATCTGAAAGAATTCCAGTCGAAGCCAGCTTAAACAGTGACACAAAAACCGGAAAACAGAAGGGAAAAAAAATAGAACTTTTGCATGGCTTACGCATGTACGTATTGTTCAATTCGTGAAAGCATTAGGTTCCATAAAATTTGCAGGTCTCAAAACTGAAAAAAAAATCACTTTTATGGAGAGAAAATAATTATTGTCTGGCCCAAACGTTTCGCTCCTCCCTGGAGCTCCTTTAAAATTGTTGCACTCGTGTGCAGAAAATACGAACAAGTTACCGTGGTCTTGGGAGGTGGGATATTGGTAGACTGAGGATTTTGATACAATCTTCGAAAAAGATGTTCACAACATATTATTTACCTTCGCATGCTCTGATCCAATTGACATGGGCAATAACCTTTTTTTCTGGCACTTAAAATTTTGCATTATTTACTTGCTCTCGATTTAATGATAAAAATATCGTACAAGAAAAATATGATTTCGGGCCATTTCCTTTTAATTATAACTGCAGGAAATGCAGTATAAGCAAAAAATAGAATACTACTAGGCAAAAAAAAAAAAAAAAGAAAAAAAAAAGAGCACTTCACCTGTAAAATCTTTAACCCTTCTACTTTTTGAGTGATGTATTCGAATTTCTTCCATTTCCAGGCAGAGTGGGGAGAAAACAAACACTAACCTTTTAATTGACAAAATGAAAATTTAGTTTTTTTTTAGTTTTTTTTTTTTTTTTTAGTTTTTTTTTAAAATGATAAACAGTTGAGCCTCGTTAACCCGGAAACTTGTGTTCCCGAGCATATATCGTCTTGATAAATTAAGCGTCTGTATTACTGATATTGCCACTGCTATGTAGCGGCAATGAGTTTTTTTCGGCATTAGTCCCTTTGATAAAATGTAGCGGTAATGATCGCCCGAAAATTTGAGAAAATGTAGCAGTAACGAGTTGAAATTTTTCGCAATGTAGCGGTAATGTTGACCTCCCATTACTGAAACCTATCATTTATTATTGGTATACATACTGACACACAAAAGAAACACAACAAGCATTATTATTATTATTATCAAGTTATTTTTTTCTAATGACATTCACAATTCAACTCAGATTTTACATGTAAGAGATTACTATATTAAAATAAAACCTGACATCTTATTGAAAAGTTGAACCATACCACGTAACTTTAAAAAGTAACAAATAACCTTTCATACCCCCCCCCCCCCCCTTCAAGAGAGAGTATCTTCACCATGTACATCAGTTGACGCTCGAATTCTACGATGCACTGAGTTCATTAGTTTCATGATTTGAAAGGAAAGAAACATTCTGCCAGTATTCTTGTAGTGTTTGTTTCTCAGCGCTGTAGTTGAATAACTCAACCCTGACACAACGAAGTAACCCTTGGTCTTCCGGTCCGGGGATTGTCATCTATGGAGCCATTAAGACATACGGGTGTATAGAAACACGATACAATGCATCTTTGCACTAGCAACACTCTGTCAACTTCATTTTGAAAATATCCCGTTGGAAGCACGACCAATGCGCGCTTACAGTCAAGTCTTGGCATCACTGAGGGAAAAGAAACCAGATTTTTTAAAAGGAATAATGCTGCTATACTTGATGAACAGAAACAAATTCCTCTTATTTTTATTTCAAATAATAGCTGAATATGTTGTAAAACGTACAGTTTAAAGTTCTTGTTTACTATGGGTAAGACTTTCGTCCAGTAACTGGATGAAAATCAATCGACCAAGCATAGCTGAAGACGTCTTACATTAACAGTACAAAATTATACCTTTTATCAATATTTTTCTGAAAATATGATGTTGCGTTTCTTTTGTGTGTAAGTATATTAATGTAAATTATATTCCCAACAAATTTTGTTCGACAGATGAGGAGTCCAGATTACCTGATTTCGGATTTCCGAGGCTCGACTTTACCCTGTACTTATATACAACAGCTTAAAGAAAATTGAATTGGTAAACATTGTTGTGTCCTGGCAAAAAAGAAGAAATTTTGAAAAAAAAATTGTCTCTGGTCTATAGGGAAAAAAGGAAGTAAGGTTTATTTACAGTGCGTGATCCTGATTTATCACGGTTAATCAAACGTTTAACTCACTACCATGAGAACAGTTTTTAAGCAATATAAGCTTGGTTGGCAGTTCAAGGATTTTCAACCTAATGGACCAAGGTTCAAACATAAAGTTATAAAAATATGGTAGTTCAATGGGGTATAGGAACTTAATTTGCTTATAGATAAAAGTGATTTGCAAATCATACATGTAATTCCAGTGTATGCAAATACATTTATACACTGCAGATATGTGCAAATTAGGAATGTTACTACATCTGTATCGTTTTGTTTATTTGAGAAAAGCAGAGCTTACAATGGAGAAATATTTCAAAAATTTTTGATACGATTAACTGACTATTCGGTCGGAACGTCCTGCGGTTAACCGATTGTCAATTCTGTATTCAATTGACATCCCTAGTGCAGATACATTATCAATGAATAAAGTATAACAGTTTTACTCCTCTTGTATAAAAACGAATTTTCATATATTTTTTCTTTAATATTCATAACTAAGGGTGAAAAATATATAAATCTATAACTTAATTTTGTTTATTATTTGCAGTCTGATCAAACTATACATAGCAGCATAAATAATTGATAAACTAAACATTTTTTGTAAAAATGCTTTACAACAAAAATACAGGCCCTGTGGGAACAAAACCCTTTAATATTCAGTGTGTAACACTGACAGTAAGAGTTCATTATATCTACATTGATTTCTGATATCATGGAACATTTGGAGGTCTAGAGGACAAGGAAGACTTGTGGAACAGCTTTCTAGAGGAGCATTTACATTTCAAGACTTTTCCTAGCCATAGAATTTATTAATTATTTGTCCAATCATAAGGTTTCCACCAGTCTGCAAACTGAAGGACTTTCTTCCTCTGATCCTCAAAGCCTTCTTTCTGTGGGCGTCGCCAGAGTCTGGGCTCGGCGTCAATCATGCCACCCACTACTTCCTGAAAGCAACGAAGAGATTATGCTTTTATTAGCAGCTTTAAATCATAACAAGAAAATTTTACATTAGATCATAAGGTTTATATTGAGACACAGTCATGATTCCCTTTGTTTAAAGTTTAATAAAACATGCACCAAAACTTTGCAGGATGTTTGACAAACCTTTCCAAAATACTTAGGAAATTGTCTTTCATCCTCTATCACGTGTGCATATCCACCCTGCATTCCAAAGTCAACAGCAAAATAAGGAAAACCTTTTGGAATCTAAAAAAGATAAGGCAAATGGAAAATACTTTCAGAACAAGAGAACCATAGGCCTCAGTGCTTACCTGTAGTTGGAAATTTATCGTGTAATGGTTATAAGTAATAATTTCAGAGTCAATATTTATGCAAATTTATACGCTAAATATTACATGTGTGAGATATTTTAGTGATACCTACAGTGATATTCTGATAATCTAAATACAGGTAAGCTGTTTCAAGTTTACTTGTTTAAATTTCCTTTGTAAGTTAATATATTTTTTATTAACCCCCATGTGTAAATCTTGTCTTCATTATCATTTTACTTACGGATCTACGGACATCTTTCTTACTGAGATCCACCAACTTTTTATTGTCAGACCATTCCGACTCAGATTCTTGTATGGCTTTCTGTAAAAGGTAGAATTCTTTTTATTGCATGTACTGAAATTTTTTTTTGTTTTTGTTTTTTAAAAGTAGCTCATAAAAATGTACAGAAGACACTATTTCCTATTTTATTAATATGAATGGCATTTACTGATACTTGCATGAAAAATTCCTGAACAAAAAATAAACTCTACATGTATTAGATTCTAACAACAATGACCTTGAAATATATAGGAGCAAGGTCGCCTGTCTCTTTTTCCATGGGAATGCACTCTATGAGCATATGGGGATGATATCGTAGTCCCATACAGGTCTCCATGAACACAACATCCTGATCCATTGACTCAAACATTCGTGTGAGCGCCTTCCTAAACATCTGAAAATTTAAGTATAGTTCATCGTAGAACAAGCTAAACTTTATCATAACAAGACTTCCATATGTCTTTCTTATCACTTCAATTCTGTGCTGAAATGGCAAACACATCAAGAAAGAAAATTTAGGAAGTTAACATAGAGTGTGTTCATATTCACACCAATCTCACTGAAGACAATGTACTGAACTGGATCTCAAGCCAGACAACATGTATTTACCTGGATTTCACTCCAGACATCCTCATCCACTACAGTACCTGAGACAGCATGCTGCATTGGGACAATCTGACAGTGGCCCTCACATAGAGACTTACTATTGGGAAGACAGAGGTACACCTGGATATATGAAGAGAGAAACATGTCAAATATTCTCAAGTATAACTTTTGATTTATAATGGAATATTCAGTCTAGTGCATATCAACCTGGTAATTTAATAATCTATGAGCCATGACATCTATTTATTATATTTTAGTAGCATTTTACAACAATATGGACAACACCTTAAAACAAGTAAAGTTATCCCCCTTCAGAAAGTTAATAATGACCACTGCCAACTACATGTAATTTATATAAAGGATTCGAAGAATTATGTTAGTATTTTTGTTTCCACATTTTACTTTAATGTCAGCGGATGATGCCACATATATCATCATTATCAGGGACGACCTTCACAGATAACGTAAAACTGTATCTATAATCAATACCTTAGTTCCTATGCAGATAATGAGGTGCTTTGGAGTTTTATCAAAACACATCTGGCAGTCAGAGATGTTCTTATGCTCTGAAAAAAAAAATACTGAATACCTTTATGACTGCTAGGCAGTAACAAAATTTTCTTAATCCTATAATAACAAAATACATGTCATTCATTCATTTAAAATTAAAAATAAATGTGCTTACCCCTGATGGCTAAAGCACGCTCTCTTTCTTCCACTTTGGCACCCGATTCTTTAGTGTTGGCTCTGCTAACAAACATGTCGTCTAAGTCATAATCCTCATCTGTCTTCTCCACACTCTGTAACAAAAGTGAAATTGTTTTATTTTTACCACTACTGACTTTTGGCTCATGTTTTTCTTTCTGACAAAATAAAATGTTTACATACTCTGCCAGCAAGTCTAGAAAACATTGAGTTCTGATCTTCTGCAGTTCCCATTTTCTCTCTTTCAACCTGAAAAAAACAACATATTTTGAGATCAAACTATTTAATATACTTTGAATCAATACACATGATTTACATGTACCCATTCAACAACATTTTATGGAATAAAAAATTTTGATTAGGACCATTACATGATCCTTGCTCAAAACTTCTGAATGAAAAAAATGACTTGTTTATATATATTTGAATGACTGAATTTGATTGGAAACATCGTAAGTGTATACACTGTTATTAAGTGCTACATGTACCATTTGTTTGACATCAAATCTGTCATCATCAGCAAAGTACCGCTCCCTCTCTCCTGTTTTTCCATGTGTGAGCACCTTAAACATAAGGTTAGATTTCATTTTTCCATTTCTTATTCAAAAGAAAATCAAGAAACAGATTCCTTTCATGTCTATACCTAAAATCCTTGAGACATTCATGTTTTTGACATTTCTTTAGTTACAACATATACTTTCAGATTCTTCATAGTAAACTGTTTCTTTTTTCTTCAAATTATAAATATGTATTATAAAACATAAATATATTTTTTTATTGATAAGCATGCATACTGACCTTTTCCTTTTTCTTTCTGCGTTTCCCTTTCTGAGGTTCATGTTCCCGATCAGCCACAGGCCTGGCTATTCCAGAGACACCAGTTCTGGCCAGCACCACTACATTAGATGCTTCTTCACCAGGGGGCACTGTATCTTTGTATTTTTCTTTATTCTCCCTAGCTTTTTCTAGCTGCTCCTTTAATTTGACAGCAAGTGCCTAAGAATAGTAAAAGAAAAGATACCATTTGAATTTTTTCAAAAAATTTGTTGATAACATTCGTTTTCAAGGCTGGCTAATGTAAAAAAGAAAAAATTAAGTGGATAGTTCAAGAAGGAAAAGTGAAAACCTCATTTCTTTTACATATTAAATATCAAATTCATACTGCTTGAGAGAGTAAAACCAGTTTATATCCCAACCACTTGATATCTTCACTTCTTAATTTGAAACTCACATTGTTCCCCATGATTTCTGCCCGGACTATTTTGGCCCCCAGTTGATTCATCTCCTTCTCAGACAGCAGGACCACCTCTTCCTCACTCTCCTCTTTAACCTCTTTCTGACCAGCACTTGTTCCTGCTTTGTCTTCTTTTTCTCCTCCAGACTCGCTCTCTTCATCAGAACTTGATTCTTCATCTAGAGTTGAAAATCGCAGATCTTTATTCAAGTCATTGTTAGTAAATCTTGATATAAAATTCAGTAAAACATGCCTATAACAAAGCACCAGGGATGGACATTTTTTTACTTGTTATAAAAGTAATTTGTTATATCCGTTAAGTTCACAATATATTTTAAAACATGGGAAATGAAAATCACTTCGCTGTAAGTGTCAATTCATTATAAGCATGATCATATTCATTACATGTATAAGCATGTTTTACTGTATCTTTATGTAATACAAATTTAAGACTTAATACCTGATGAAGATGATGAAGTAGATGGTCTCCTTTTTCTTTCTTTAGGTGACCTGCTGCTGCTTCTTTCCCCTTTATCAGTGATTTCTGGTTTATGGAATTCTTTTTTCTTCCATGCTGGTGCAGATTTCACATTATGCCTATTGTCCATTCTATATGAGTTGTCCTCACCTGGTTTCATAAAACGCCTTTCAAGTCTTTTTGAAGATCTCTCACTTTCACCTCCTTTAGAATATCTTGATTCTGACCTATCACCATAATTCCCATCAACCTTTAACCTATGACTTCTATCTCTTGAATTTGACCTTGACCTAGATCTGGATCTTCTCTCTTTTGACCTTGATCTTGATTTTCTCTCTCTTGATTTTTGCCTTTCTCTTGACCGTGATCTTTTCTCTCTGGATCTTGATCTTGACCTCCTTCGCTCTCTTGACCTTGACCTCTCCCTTCTCCATCCTTTGGACCTAGAATCATTGTCATCAGATGGCTTCATAAACCCTCTCCTTCTTCCACTGTCACTTTCGCCAGGCTTCATAAATCTTTGTCTTCTACTGTCTATGTCTCTCTGGTGACTCTCTTGTTGCTTACTTCTAGTGATTTCTCTGTATGCTTTTTCTGCAGACTTTAACATTGATTCCAGTTTGTCCAGAGACTGAAAGATACACCAGCAAATTAAAAGACGGAATTTTCAAAAACACTCTTTACATATGACTCAAGGCAATTTGTGCTATACAACGTAGTAGTATATCATGTAGCTGTGAGAGTACCCATATTCAATCTAATTGTGATAAACTCAAGGACATTAACATTGATAAGTTTAAGGGTTCACCATCCCTCTGTTCTCCAATACAAAATTTTGTTTTAATGATTATGATTTTCCAAAAAGAAATCTTAATTATGTTCCCCAAACGAAGTTTGGGAACATATTGTTTTTACTCTGTTTCTTATTAAGGTCTTCCGTCTTCACGGAAGACCTTATAGTGATTCTACTGTTTCTTATTATTATTATTATTAGGGTCTTCCGTCTTCAGCGGAAGACCCTTCTATTATTCTTAGGTTTCTTTTTTACCTTTATTATTAGGGTCTTCCGTCTCCAACGGAAGACCCTTCTATTATTGTATTGTTTCTTTTTCACTTTTATTATTATTATTATTATTCCACTTTTTCTTTACAATTTTTGTGCAGAAGATATCTCGCAAACGGTTTGATCGATTTTCATGAAATTTTCAGGGGTAATGCCTTTTGATCTGAAGATGATCCTTTTTTGTTCAAATCCTTAAAATTCACTTCCGGTCGGAAGTTATCGCCCTTTAATCGATTTTCAGATAACCATTTTGTCGACACAAAAACTAAAAAACGGCAAAAGCTAGAGTGCTGAAATTTTCAGCGATTATAGACGACATGTTGAAGTTTTGCAACTGGGTTTTCAAATTTTCCGGAAGTACCTAGTATGGAAGCTCGGTAGGGGTCGAAATTTAGGAAATGAATCAGAAGTGAATGTTCGAGACATTTTTTATCATATCTCTAAAACTATAGAGATTTTCTAAAAACATATAGAATAGAAATTGTGTAGAATTACAAGATTTTTTATATGATATCAAAGAAAAAGGGCTGACTCATCACATTAGGGGCCGAGAGGGGCCGAAAGTCTTTAGTCAATAGCTCCTTAACGATCAAAATTTTGTAATGCATTACTGAAGCAAAAATGTTTAACTCAACAATTTACAACTATATATTATAAAATTCACATATATGTTACATAATTAGGGGCCATTAGGGGCCAGAATGCAAAATCTTTGACGTTTTATATTTCAAAAGTGGGAAATATTTTGATAAGCAATATTGAACAAAAGATGTTCAAAATAATGATCTAAACAATATGCAACATTTCATTTTTCTCTAAACGTCCCAATTAAGGAGTTAAAGGGCCGGCCCTTAAATACCTCTTTTGGTAATATCTCGGAAACGAAAAGGAATTTCTGAATAGTTGTTGAACAAAAAGTGTTCAAAATCATAAGAGCTTTAAAGTGATATGAAGAAAAAGGGGCTGGCCCCTCAAAATAAGGGCCGAGAGGGACCGAAAGTCTTAAATCAATAACTCGTTAACGATCAATATTTTGTGATGCATTACTGAAGCAAAAATGTTAATATTAACGATTTACAACTACATATTATGATATTCACATTATATGTTACATAATTAAGGGCCATGAGGGGCCAGAATGCAAAATCTTTAACGCTATATATCTCGAAAGTGTGAAATATTTTGATATGCAATACTGAAAAAAGATGTTCAAAATAATGTTCTGAACAATATGCAACCTTTTATTTTTTGCTTAACGTCCCCAATAAGAAGTTAAAGGGCCGGCCCCTAAATACCTCTTTTGCTAATATCTCGGAAACGAACAAGAATTTCTGAATAGTTGTTGAACAAAAAGTGTTCAAAATCATAAGAGCTTTAAAGTGGTATGAAGAAAAAGGGGCTGGCCCCTCAAAATAAGGGCCGAGAGGGACCAAAAGTCTTTGATCAATAACTCGTTAACGATCAATATTTTGTAATGTATTACTGAAGCAAAAATGTTAATATTAACGATTTACAACTACATATTATGATATTCACATTATATGTTACATAATTAGGGGTCATAAGGGGCCAAAATGCAAAATCTTTAACGCTATATATCTCAAAAAGTGTGAAATATTTTGATATGCAATACTGAACAAAAGATGTTCAAAATAATGTTCTAAACAATATGCAACCTTTTTTTTTTTGCTTAACGTCCCCAATAAGAAGTAAAAGGGCCGGCCCCTAAATACTTCTTTTGCTAATATCTCGGAAACGAAAAAGAATTTCTGAATAGTTGTTGAACAAAAAATGTTCAAAATCATAAGAGCTTTAAAGTGATATGAAGAAAAGGGTACTGGCCCCTCAAAATAGGGGCTGAGAGGGGCCGATAGTCTCTGATGAATAACTCTTTAATGCTCAACATTTTGTAATTCATTACTGAAGCAAACATGTTTATCTCAACAATTTACAGCTATATATTATAATATTCACATCATATGTTACATAATTAGGGGCCACAAGGGGCCAGAATGACAAATCATTGGCACTCTATTTCCCGAAATTGGGAAATATTTTGATCAGCAGTGTTGAATAAAAGATGTTCAAAATAAGGTTTTAAACAATATGTAACCTTTTCATTTTTGCTAAACGGCCCCATTAAGGAGTTGAAGGGCCAGCCCCTGAATATTTCTTTTGCATATATCTCGAAAGCAAAAAAGAATTTCAGAATAGTTGTTGAACAAAAATGTTCAAAATCATGAGAGCTATAAGAGATACCAAGAAAAAAGGACTGGCCCCTCAAAATAGGGGCCAGGACGGGCCCAATGTCTTTAATCTATAACTTTTTAATGATCAATATTTTAATACACACTACTGAAGCAAAATTTTCGTCTTAATTTATTTTTAGGGTCTTCCGTCTTCAGCGGAAGACCCTTCTATTATTCTTATGTTTCTTTTTCACTTTTATTATTAGGGTTTTCCGTCTTCAGCGGAAGACCCTTCTATTATTCTTCGGTTTCTTTTTTACCTTTATTAGGGTCTTCCGTCTTCTGCGGAAGACCCTTCTATTATTCTATTGTTGATTTTTCACTTTTCTTTTTATTATTAGGGTCTTCCGTCTCCAACGGAAGACCCTTCTATTATTCTATTGTTTCTTTTTCACTTTTATTAGGGTCTTCCGTCTTCAGCGGAAGACCCTTCTATTATTCTTCGGTTTCTTTTTTACCTTTATTATTATTATTATTATTCTTTTTTCTCCTTACAAAATTTGTGCAGAAGATTACTCGGAAATGGCTCGTACGATTTTCTTCAAATTTTCATGGTAGATGCGTTGACATCTGAAGTTAATTCCGGCAATTTCGTTAAGGGATATTTACTTCCGGTCGAGAGTTATCGCCCTTTTTTCAAAATTTAGAGGACCTCCTTGTCTGCGATGGAACTCAAAAACGGCTTAAGCTAGAGCGCTGAAATTTTCAGTGATGATAGAGGACATGTTGCCATTTTGCACCTGGGTTTGGATATTTTCCGGAAATGCGTAGTATGGAAGCTCGGTAGGGGTCGAAATTTAGGACACGAATCATGAGTGAATTTTTTAGACATTTTGTATCACATCTTTTAAAGTATAATTATTTTGTTAAAACATACTGAACAATATTTGTGCAGAATGACAAGATCTTAAATATGATATCAAGAAAAAAGGGCTGACTCATCATATTAGGGGCCAAGAGGGGCCAAAAGTATTAAATCAATAACTCTTTAACGATCAATATTTTGGTATACATTACTGAAGCAAAAATGTTAATCTTAACAATTTATAACCATATATTATGATATTTACATCATATGTTACATAATTAGGGGCCATAAGGGGCCAGAATTCTAAATCTTTGACACTTTATATCTCGAAGAGGGGAAATATTTTGATAAGCAATATTGAACAAAAGATGTTCAGAATAATGTTCTTAACAGTGTACACCCTTTTAATTTTTGCTAAACTTCCCCATTTAGGAGTTTAAGGGCTGGCCCCTAAATATATCTTTTGCATATAGCTCGGAAACGAAAAAGAATTTCTGAATAGTTGTTGAACAAAAAGTGTTCAAAATCATGAGAGCTTTAAAGTGATATGAAGAAAAAGGGGCTGGCCCTTCAAAATAGGGGCTGAGATGGGCCGAAAGTCTTTGAACAATAACTCTTTAACGATCAATATTTTGTAATGCATTACTGAAGCAAAAATGTTCATCTCAACAAATTACAACTATATATTATGATATTCACATCATATGTTACATAATTAGGGGCCATAAGGGGCCAGAATGCTAAATCTTTGACGCTTTATATCTCAAAAGTGATAAATATTTTGATAACCAATATTGAACAAAAGATGTTCAAAATAATGTTCTAAACAATATGCAACCTTTGATATTCTGTTAAACGCCCCCATTAAGGAGTTGAAGGGCCGGCCCCTAAATACTTCCTTTGTAAATATCTTAGAAACGAAGAAAAATTTCTGAGTAGTTGTTGAACAAAAAGTGTTCAAAATCATGAGAGCGTTAAAGTGATATGAAGAAAAAGGGGCTGACCCCTCAAAATAGGGGCTGAGAGTGGCCGAAAGTCTTTGAACAATAGCTCTTTAACGATTAATATTTTGTAATGCATTACTGAAGCAAAAATGTTCATCTCAACAATTTACAGCTATATATTATGATATCCACATCATATGTTACATAATTAGGGGCCAGAATGCTAAATCTTTGAAGCTTTATATCTCAAAAGTGGGAAATATTTTGATAACCAATATTGAACAAAAGATGTTCAAAATAATGTTCTTAACAATATGCAACCTTTCATTTTTTGCTAAACGTCCCCATTTAGGAGTTGAAGGGCCGGCCCCTAAATACTTCCTTTGCAAATATCTCAGAAACGAAAAAGAATTTCTGAGTAGTTGTTGAACAAAAAGTGTTCAAAATCATGAGAGCTTTAAAGTGATATGAAGAAAAAGGGGCTGGCCCTTCAAAATAGTGGCTGAGAGGGGCCGAAAGTCTTTGAACAATAACTCTTTATCGATCAATATTTTGTAATGCATTACT